GGATCTGGTGTGGCCTGACTTCCTGAGTCTCCCATTTAGATTCATACTGCACAGTGTTCTCCTGTTAACATGTATTTTACAGATTGGCTCACAGTCATTTGCCTATCTAAAGAAGAACACCCAAAAACCAAAGCAACTCAAACACTAGAAAAGTTGGGCTGAGGTTTTTTTGCAAGTTTTTTCTGTAAATGATAAAAAGCACCAGAGCAGCTACATGATCCCCAGAAATGCTAAATATCATGTTAAGAAATATTTTAGCCATTACACATTCAATGTTCAAGGAGAAATCTATTTTTTTCTGAAGCAGAACTAAACAAGCAAAGGTCAGAAATAATGTGAGTGACTACCATCTTTCTGATGAGAAGAAATCCAAATCAAATGTAATTTTCCTGTAAATTGCTTGAGAATTTATGTTTTGGATGATGGTAACTGACCACTGGATGCCACTGTTGTTCCATCAAAATAGACTGGCAAGTATTGTCTTTTTCTGGCTTGTTTGCGAGGATCTCCTCAAGGCAGAATTGTGAACCAAGAATAGAGATTTTCACTATGAAATAACACCTACATCTAGAATTGTTAATGTTTTTCTGTACTTGAGTATTTGATATTTCCATTGCTGAAACCCGCTTACTGGGTATTAGAGCATCCGGAGGTAGCTTCCCCTTCAAAGCCCTGTGAGGCTGACCCATGCTTTTGACTAAAAAGCATTTGCTGTGTTTTCCCCTTCATCTCACAAAAGCCAATGCTAAGTAGGGTTTGTCTTCACATTTGTGAGGTGTTTTCTATAATATTCTCAGGTCTTGCTGGCCCTGTGTGAAGGACCATAAACTGTTACAATCCAGCTCCTTCCATACCTGTGACTAAACTTCTCCCACGTCCATTTAACCACAACATACCCCATCCCTGTCTTCTGCGTGTGACTCGACCTCTCCAGTATGTGGCAGTCCTGTCTCACCTGCCTTTCAAACTTTACTATCTCTGATGAGGCCTTTCCACAAATGAGAAAGTTAATATTGTAGGTGGTCAAAGCTCAACTTACTTTCCAACTTGAAGATTTGACTTTTTAAAAATGTTTAGTGTCGCTGTGAGACGTGCTGTGAAAATTATGGAAACATATACATAAACATATACATATACTTATACTATCTTCTGACAGGACAATATGAGCCAATATCGTTCATTCCTGGAAGCAGGTTAGTGAAAATAGCTGGTCAAATCTGTGAGGAGTGACTGGGGGGAGAGGGGAAAGATTGCACTAATGGTATAGGGAATTAAAATGAAACATGTTTAGAAGTAGATGGCATAAATATGAAACAAAATGGATGGTAGAAGTGAAAGACACTCCCTGAAAGGTGAATTTCTAAATTATTGCTGACTATAACACGTTGGTTTTATCTGACAACAAATGGAAGCTATCTATAGAGTATATCGGAATGGAACACCTCGCAAAGGAAAAAGCATTTCATGTGAACCACCAGTACTTGCAGTTAACTATTAATCTCCATTCTGTTCTGTATTCTGGCCAGTCTGATTATGGGCTTAAGTAGATCTGAGGGTCCGTTTGCAGTAGCCATTGAACAGAGAAAGCAGATAATTCAGTGAAGCAATTTTTAACATTTGTTTGTTCATGTGATTTTTGGTTTGTATGCTTTTTAACAGGCACTTTTATTTTTTTAAATTAAACTAGGGGGCTGCACCCCATTCTTACAACACTCACCAACCCCCTTCTACTCCCCCCCCCCCCGGGTTAGCACCCCCGGCCCTCCCCCCCACCCATGGGGGG